CGTTATAGTAAGACAAGAGGTCTATTTGCGGGAGTTTCTATCGAAGGTTCTGTTATTATTGAACGCAAAGATGCAAATGCAAAATTATATCATCGTAAAGTGACAGCTAAGGAGCTTCTTTCTGGACAAGTACCGGCGCCGCCTCAAGCAGATGTTTTATATAGAGCATTAAATACGAGGGCTTCACGTCCTTCTGATCATGAAACAAGAAGCAATGAAGAGTCTTCAGAACATGAAACAAGAAGTAATGAATCTTCAGAACATGATGGTACTGTGTCAACAAGATCAGCAGGGACTTCAAAGAATTATCGTCATAGTCAACCACCACCACCACGATATTCTGCCATAATACCAAAATCAATAGAGGAAAACACACGCAGTACAAATCCTTTTGACGCTGACAATTCAAATTCTGCAAAATCTGTTCAAAGATCAACTTCTTTATCTTATAATAATTCATCCAAACCTCCGCCGATAGCACCAAAACCCAAGATTCCTCCTCGTGCACCGAAGCCACAAACAGCTATTGCATTATATGATTTTGCTGGAGAACAAGAGGGAGACCTTAGTTTTAAAAAGGGAGATATTATCATTATTACAAAGAAAACAGAATCAAACAATGACTGGTATGAATTGATTTAATATTCCTATTCTTTTATCATACATAATAGAAATATTAACATAATAAAATTTAGGTGGACCGGAAAACGTAAAGGAGAAGGAGGAATTGTAAGTTTCAAATGTATTTTTAATCCATTCTATAATGTCATTTATTAATTTACAATTTTTTTTTTTAGTTTCCCGCTAATTATGTGGAACTACAATAAGTAATGAAGTAGCAATAAAATTATACCATCATTATCATATTTCCATATTTCGCGCGTTATTTTGATCCTGCGCATTATATTTAGTCCCAATGTGTATCTATTCCTTATGCTTTCATACCATCATAGTAAAGTTTGGAATATACTGCAATACAGGCTCTGGTCGTAAAATTTGCAGGCAGATTTGCCCATAAAACTATAAAAGATAGTATCAAATGGTGATTAGGTTACAATATATTTCTCTATATCTATGCTATTGGACATTTCATGCTTAGGAAAAAATATATTTTTATAATATTTCTTTGTCAATTTTGCTTTAGAATTAAATTATGTTATTTGCATAATTTATTACGTATGCGTATGTTTATTACGTGTACCAAAATTTAATCCTAATTTGCAAAATTAATCATGTCCGCAATAATGTCCCGAAATGATATTGTACACGGACAATGTTCCAACTTTGTCCTACTATGTCCGGGATTCTTGGTTTGGGTTATGTGTAAAGAATTTTATTGGCTGATCAACAGAAATATCCGGGACAAAAAAAATTTCCCGGACATGTCCACGGAGGCCCCGTTCCGGACATGCCCGCTGTCTGTGTCCGTGTCCCATGATAGCGATAGTTAATCGGTCCCGCAGTAATTATTAGTGCAAGATTTGTAAAAAATTGGCATTTTGACTACTGTTTGTCCAATTAATTTTAGAGTAATTTAGATGGGACCGATTAGGGACCGAACACTGTGGAGCAAATTTAGCTAATCGGTCCCATCTAAATAGCTCAAAAACAAATACAGAAATCGATAAGCTTCTATTATAGAAAAATAATTTTTCTATAGCTTACGAATAGTAGTTAAAAATGCAAATTCTTTACAAATCTTGCTCAAAGTTGGCTGATAATTGCTGCGGGGCAGATTAACATCTACGTAGTCCATTGATGGATCTTCAGGTAATTTTGAATCGTAATTTTCGGAAAAAAATTACTATTGCTTGAAAAATTTACACGTAAAAATTTCACGGATTTTTTATCCTTACTTAAAAGAATATATTTCAACGTTGATCCCATGTGCGCACGCTAATTGTCTCACAAAGTTAAACATACCAAGAATTATCAACGAGAAAATACCGTAGTGCACTAACTAAAATGCCACCATTTTCCAGCACTCCCCATTCAACAATCGACGTAAGTTTAATTAAGTCATGTAATTATGTATGTTAGAGATTTCTTACCTATTATCTCATCCCAGAGTAATCCGATATTAAAAAAATTGCTCATCGAAAAATCAACTTTATATTATCGAAATTTTAGTTCTTAACGCGGCCAACTTTATCATAACTCTGGCCGTGTTAGCTCTATACATTTCAGCATTTGCCTGTCGATCAGAACTACATGATTCTGGTTCGATTCGTCTCATAGAGACGAATCGAACGGTACCAAAATCATGTGATTCTGATCGATAGTTCTCGAGATACTCCATTTAACCAAAATAGCCCAAGGTAGATATGCATAATTTAACACAGGTAACTGTTTATGATAAATATCATGTATCGATCAGAATCGCAAGAGTTTGGTATCATTCGATTCGTCTCAATAAGACAATCGAATAGTACCAAAATCTTGCGATTCTGATCGATACACCACATGATATTTATCATAAATGTTTACCTGCATCAAGCATATATCAAATTAGAAATATATTTTCTTACAACCTTTAATAAGTGATATCTTATTATTTAGTGATTAGAATTGGATGATTTTGGTACCATTTGATTCATCTTGATGAGATGAATCGAATGATACTAAAATCAGCCAGTTCTGATCAATATATCATGTAATATTTATTGAAAACATTATCTGTGTCAAATTAGGCATATTTATGGATGGTGATGCACTTTATGATTATAGTGACCTCGAAGTTTTGGTAGATAGTGCAGTAAAGACGGCTCTAAAAAAAATAACTGATGTTGACCGAAAAGCCAGGGTGTTGGAAGTTTTGCCACAGGTTAGTAATATGGGGTGTTTTGTATTAAAAAGGCCTATTTTGCAATTTTTTTGAAAAATGAGTTTTTATTAGATTTATGTAAATTTTGATATGATAGACATTGAATGAAGGTCAATTTGCATAATAAAAAATGGTGATAATGTAAAAGAAAAATTATATGATGCTGCCTAAGGCCAAGCACGTCACGAGATTACCCGATAATTACCTGCTACCTTTAACCAATCAAAATCGTGAAATTTGCTTAATCCCAGATCAGTCTGAAAATCAAAACAAACATTTTAAACTCAATTATCTCAAAATAAATTATATGTCAAAATGGGCCTTTTTAATACGAGGTATCTTATATATGAATGAGAATTTTAGACTATTTGTTTACATGTGATGAAAATACAACAGATGTATCTTTATGGTTGGTCACTGCTGAAGGTTGGGGAATGCTGACCCAGAAGAGCAACTTCTTTAGAAATGTCTTGAGTTGTTGAGGGTACTGCTCTCCTCAACTGTATGTGGCTATTTTTTTGCCAAATATTTATAACTT